AATCGATTACATATCGAACTTCTGTACATGTTTTTGTCTACTGCCCTTCTGCGTGCAAATAATGAGGTCATACTCATGTCACAATAAATTGAAGCTGATGCCATGTTGATGCCATGAGACTGCGAAGCTGAGGCCACGATGATGCCACAAAATTGCGAGGCGAACACAGCTTCAATTTTCAATGACGCGAAGCTGATGCCACAATGATGCGATGCTGAGGCGACAATGAAGCCATGCGTAGGCGACAATGATGCCACAAAAGCCAAAGCTTCCGCGAGAACTGTACTGTATGAGACGGTATAATAATAAAAAACATTTTTTGCGATCTTGTATTGCATGAGTGTGTACTATGAGGTTAACGTGATAATTACAAAAGCATTACGGTGATCGCATTGACTGACATGTACTGGAAGTCACTGCGATCAAGTACTGCCTGAGTACTTATTATGGAGTTAGCACAAGTATGCCAAAAAGTATGCATGAAGGCATTACAGTGATCGTATTGACCCACGAGTAACAGAGATCAATGCAATCCTGTACTGCCTGAATGCATACTTTTTGGTATTCTCTCATGATAACCTTATTAATATATATTTCCCTGCGTGAATAATTCAGTGAGATATAGCTGCATGAATTGGCAGCAAAATGATTGCACGTCTGATTTGTCATTTGCACTTGGTGATTCTATTTCAGTCACACATTGTTACTGTGTCTGATGTGAACAAAGCAATGTGCTAATGTGTCTTAACATTTTCCAAATAAGGAAGACATTTTATAGCTGGGTGAATTCTACTGTTTTTTAATTTGTCACTTGTCACTTTATGAGTATGCAACTTTTTCCTGTTTGTAATAATTGAATGAAAAAAAGATAACAGTCATAGGATTCATGCCTGTTTATTCAGTAATACGATTTCCATCCTATAATATGAGGTTATTATGATGACACAAGCGCAATGGAGGTCGATGCAACGGTGTACTGTCTGACTGCATACTTTTGGGTATCCTCATAATAACCTTATTATTATACACCTTTTCCTTCCAAGGATACAGTGTACATCATGGGAATGCCGAAATCCAAACCCTGGTGACAGCCATGTTTGTTTTTGTTATTAGAGGACAGTTACGCACGTAATCATTTTGTATTTGAAATTTGCATTTTCTAATAGGGTAGGATGAAATTACCTCGTAAAATACCGCAAATTATGGCATGCATAATAATATACTGTACGGTTGACATGACTGATGTATTCAAAGAAAAAAATGTGACAAAAATAATCTCATCATACTTAGTGATGTAGTTTACCTCAAACAAAAAGTGATGATGACAAGAACAGTCAATATTCAATTTTCTGTTTTCAGACTGGTAACAAGGCATTTCTAAGCATATCGTTTTCACCGTTGTCCAATTTACTGGCTTCAGGCAGTGTCGATAGGCATGTCAGATTATGGGATCCAAGAACACAAGGTAAATATACAACTTTACAGCAATAATTTCCAAATATAGCATCATAATTAAACGTCAATTCCCAGTAGAGGTTGAATCAGATTTAACTCTTATCTGGCAAAGTTTGGGACAGAAATGATTAGGATCGAGTAAACTAATTGACTGCCATAATATAATTGTAAAACAACCATGTTGCAACAAATGAAAAGTACACAATTTATTACAAGCAAATCTATATCCAGTACCTTCCCAATAATATATGAATTTCGGTTTCTTTATTGTAAAAGTTTCGTTGAAATTAATGAGGTAACTATTATAAAGTCAGAGGAATACAACAATGACCTTTTATATTTGGTAGATTAATAACATTACCGGTAGATCATGGAGAGAAGAAAATATGTCAACCAAACACAAATACTAGTAGTCATAAGCTGAGTGATACTTCATGGAATGAAATGGAGTTGGGATTTTAAATAATTATACGGTATATAAGTATAAACACATGGGTTTGTTGACTCCATACTTATCTCACATAAACAGTTAACATCGGATTTGTGGCATGTGTATGTTTATAACCATATGAAAACTGTTGATAAATTATTGCCTTCCATTAGTCTCCACCTTCAAGTTATTGGTTCCACAATATTAATTTGAATTAATACTAATTTATTGTATTAAATTTTATTAAAACATCAAAAAAGAAAAAAAAATGTACATTTCATGAATAAATTTTGCTTGTCTTTATTACTTTTATCTTTAAAATCTTGTGCATATTTAATTATAATTTATTTACAATTCAAGTTAAGTCTGATACAATTAATATAGTCTTGTGAAATATACATTATTTATAAACAATATATGGTTATTCGTATAAACATATTGCGTAAAATTGTATTTTTTTAAAATTAGTCTCTTTGTGTCATTTTTTTATTTCTATTGATAAAATATATATTTATAATATATGTACATAATTGTGATTTTTTCCCACCTTTATGTAGGTGCAACATTTAAAAAAAATTGTGTATCTTTGAAAAATTATGCACAGAAAAAAAGTTGGGTTTTGTAGAGTTAATGGAAAACAAATATAGTGATACCATTTTAGCCTTTTCCTGATGAAATTATTTGTGAATTAATTTTTCTCAGAACAATATACTGTAAGTAAACCACTCTTGATTTGCATTATAACCACCTCATGATTATGCTTGAGGTTGTTAGATTCATTTATATTCCAAATACTAGAATTATGGTTACAAGTATACTTAAAACTGTTAATTAAAATTAATTAATTTAACAAATAACTGAAAAGTTGCAATATTCATTGTTTACACATTTTGTCGGCGGTTTAATACATATCACACACTGGGAAAACTTTTATTATTTTTATTTATCTTTTTCACCTTATTACCATAAATGAAGGTCACGGTCATATGGGGTGAATTTCTGCTCTTGTTATTGATTCTGTTGAAAAACTTTTTCTTGTGGTTACAATAACTGGAACAGTTTTTTTTTATTCAAACTCTTGACTGAAATAAACATTTAAGACGTAGGAATAAGTGGACAGAATAAGGACATTTAATTGCTGATGATCAGAACTAGGTGTTAGTAATATACTCTTCAAGATCTCTCAATTCGATAAGTGTAGTAAACTGATATATTGTTACGAGTATAAATTCAAAAAGTGACAAGTGCAGTGTCTGCTGCATTTTAAAATCTGGTTGGTATTTTATTTTGCTCATATATTACTTGGTTATTATTTTTGAACTTTTTTACAATTCATGTTTTATTATTTTATAAGGGACATTGTGATTAATATAGTATAGGTAGTATTGATTTAGGAACATGTTGGCTTGTATTTAGGGACATTGAGATTAATACAGTATAGATAGTATTGATTGAGAAACACGTTGGCTTGTATTTTAACTTGCCAAAATTCTGCTTAGATATGTTGTTATATGTACTGTTATCTTTTTGGAACTTTTATACAATTCATTTATTTTATATTCTATAAGAGACGATTAGATTAATACAGTACATGTAGTATTACAGTTGTATATAGGGAACACGAGTATTTTCTGTGTAAAATATATATGATATAGATATAATAGTTTTTAACCGTCCATTCATCTGTTATTTGATCAAAAATCTCAATTGGCATTGATTTTATGGTTACCTTATTACACTTTGAGTTTAGTGTTATAGTAGATATACATGTATTATTTGTGTGGTTAATTTTCATGTTCTTCGTTTTTTTCTTTTCTTGGCTATCAGTTGACAAATTTTAAACATCAGTGATCAGTTTGAATGTTGTAGTTGGATTAGGTTTTATGATGTCTTTTTTTAGATCGCTCTCATAAAGTAACTGTGTTAATTCCTTTCGTGACATCCTCCATTTGTTGATCTGCTCGTGACGTTTTCACACCTTTTTTTCCTCCTAATTTGTACGCCATATAAACAACACCAGCAATTACATTTTCATTTTTTGCAATTCTCCCTGGATCCAGGGATTTGTTGCCAAGGCGTTCATCAGGCTGTTCAAAAAGATAATGGTGTATCAGTTGTTGTTCAAGTACTACAGCATAGTGCTGGTGCTTGTCCCTCTTCCACTCTGGAAACATTCCTCCAGTTGAATCATCTGGTAGTTGTTGTTCTGTAATCGCTGCCAGGGCGATCAGTCCGTCATAGTCATGTTTGTATGTATTCGTCCATCTATTCTTTACACCTTCGTTTAAATCCCAGGTTGTAAAATCCGTATGATCAAATTTTTTTTTTTTTTCTGGACAGGCCAGAGTTTTTCCAATTGTAAACTTTATTATAATTTTGCCTGATTTATCTTCTATGTCGTTTATTATGCTTGTTATATGTTTTTCTAGTTTCCTGACATGCTGTGATAGGTTGGTGATGTTTTCTGGTAGTTTTGGCTCTTTTTTCTTAAGATCAATCAGTTTAAAGCCATATCCCTTCTCACCACGACACAGTTCTTCATAAGTCGTTACTTCAGTCATTTTACTTGCCATTATACAGCTATAATAAAATTTGTTTTTATTAACATATTTAATCATCGTATTTATTCCCAGGAACGAAAATAAATTATTAGGTTTTTTTGAGTTATAATATAAGGTTATTGCGAGGATACTGCAAAGTTCGCACAAAAGCAGTGCAGCACGAGTATCGACCGATGCGACCACATACTGTCTGAGTACATACTTTGCAGTATCCTTGTAATAAGCTTATTATTATACATCTTTTCCTCCCAAGGGTACACCATGGGAATGCTGAAATCTAAAACGATTTAGCAAACTTCTTTGTGTGGAGTCCAGTCAAACCCTGGTGACAGCCATGTTTGTTTTTACTACTAGAGGACACGCACGTAATCGTTCCATATTTGGAATTTGCGTTTCCTAATAGGGTAGGATGAAAATAGCCAGTACAATACCGCAAAATTACGATGACAGATGTATAATAATGATTAGTATCTAATAATGCTAGTTATGGAAGTGTTTTGCTGTGTCATTTACTTTTATTGCAATAATGGATGGTCTACCAAATAAGCAATATTGTCGTTTTATTGGCTAACAGTATCTACATGCATTAAAAAACAAGATTTGCTTCGATCTCCTCGTACCTCCTTTATTACATGACTGTTTTTGCTTTTAACTTTGTCTACTGTATTTGTTCTAATACCGTAGTTGTCAGAGTATAAACCCCTGTCTCGAGTAAAAGCCCCTTTCCCAAATTTACATCATTTTACAACAAGTAATTTATCGGATTATAACCTTTGAACATGTTGGCATCATCCATCATTCATTGTGATGTTTTGTATAGTTTGCTTTTCAACTTTCCACAACGTCAAATTTCACGCAACACTGTCCTGCTTTGACCTCTTGTAAAAATTTTACCATTTCAACTTTATTTTATAAATCTTTTTCTGTTGTATTCACACCCACACACACACTGGATACTTGTTCGTTGTCATGTCAGTCAAATACCATTACTTATTAACCAGGTTTTTGATTGCTGATAAGTAAAATCTAATGAAATGAAATGTATGTGTACATTACAATAGAAGTCTTTGTTCAAATGGAATTTTGTGAAACTCAGCGAATTTGTTAACTATAAGTCATTGTTTTTGGTGATCAATATCAATTGAGGCAAAAAGCGGGGATTCAATTAATAAACAAATTAATATTGGAATCAAATAAAATAGTAGATATACTTACAAGAAGTTTTTGCCTGTTATGATTTGTTTCTTGTTGGTGTGTTTGGTGTTGTCGTGGTATCATAGTTATAAACTATTTGACAATGCAACCTAATAACAGATAAGTAGTTTTGGTATCCCTCCATGTCACATACAATAAATGTCTGTAGTATAATTATTCACTATCGCTGATTTTTTTTAGAAATTAAATTTGATATGTGATGAAAAATTGTATTATGCGATATGAAAAATGTATTTTAACAAACTTTAAAAAAAAAAGGTACTTTTTTTCTTATATGTGTGTAAGCACACACTTTGATCTGAACTATTTGGTCTTAGACTTTGATCACCTATTGTTTTTAGCCTGATAGACTTTGTACACATTCTCCTGAAAAAATAAATCTACTTCAAATCTAAACAACACAAACAAAAATCTGGATATTTCTTCTACCATTTCTCTTTCAGAGATTTTCATGGCCAACCCACAAGTTTGATTCATCCATAGTGTCTTCTGTACTTGCTATGTTGTTAACCCTATGACTGCCAGACATTTTTCCTGCCAAAAATTCAACAATTTTTTTTTACCCATTTTACAAAATTTAGAATAATACAGAAAATGGATGTCAATTTAAATCAAGATTTCAGCAATATTTTTGGGATTGTGCCCAAAGTTGACAATGACGCCTTTGGGTTATAAAGTGTTCTGATAATAATATATGTGTATGACAAAAGAATCACCTTTATTGCATCTCCATAAAATATTCTGTTAACACAAATATGTGCTCATATTTCTCTGTTGTTACATTGTATGCAGATGGTGCAGTCGTAAAGCATTCCTTAACAAATCATTCTGGTTGGGTGACTTCCGTGTGCTGGTCACCTGATAGTCAGTATCAACTGATATCAGGGTCGTATGACAAGACTTTGAAATTGTGGGATACAAGAAGGTGAGAAGTTTACAATTTTTTTTCAAAAATTCTGTCCGCCATCTAAAACACTGATAAAACCCAGTGAATAATTAATTAATTTACAGTACAATACAATGTATATGCTTTGATTCAACTGCAAAGTTGTGGCTGAATTGATGTAATTTGTTGTAAATGACATGTCTATTCAAGAATGCAGTGTTCACCCATGGGGAGGGGGGAGAATACTTATATGAGGCTTGTTTCCTTATAACAAGTATATTCCTATTTACCATTTCAATATCATTTCTATTCATATTCAAATATTAACTGCCGCATTTGCTTATTGGCAAAATAAATGAAAATAAAACATAGCTAATAACAATGGTTATATCTTTTGTCATTTTCAGTCCCAGGGCACCACTTTATAATATGTCAGGATTGGACGATAGAGTACTTTCTGTTGATTGGTCAATACCAGAGGTAAGTTATAAAATTGTCGGATAGTAATAGGTTCTCAAATTGTTGACGGTATTGAAAAACATTTGTAAGAGGGGTAGTCGAGTGATATTTTGTTGCAGTGGCAAACATCGTCTTTTTTTTATTTTCGTAGTTGTAAATATCTACCCATACTTTATTTATTTCAGGTATTGCTGTGTGGTGGTGTTGATAACTGTATTCATGCATTCCAAGCGTCTAGCATTGAACCACTCAAAGAATAATGAAACTTTTCTAATTGTGTTATTTAAATATATAAAAAATAAATGCGATTTTATTTAACATCTATGATGTCCATGTATCAGTTTCAATGTTAAAGGAGGCAGAATCTTGTAATCCGCCTTCTCCACTGATAGTGGAGGGCAAAAAAACAGACAAGGTTTGAGTGACGAACAAATTTCAATCTGCGTGTCAAAAGTGATGGATTTTGTCTTGCAGCAGATACCCATAAAGCAGAGTGTTGTTGTCAATGGGTGCTTTTCTCGCCACAAGATTTGGGTGTCATTCTTTTTGTAAAGAATGATGCAACAAAAAACCGATTTTTGGTTCAATAAGTTGAATAATCAGTAACACACCGTCTATATCTCTATATTTATGAACACCAGACAGCAGAAAATAAAGTGTCTTACAGTCTGTCTCTTAACTCTACCTTTGACTGATATTCAGAAACTGCCTGGCCTCATCTGGTAGGTAGAGGGCGCTTCAGGCATCATGCTATCGTAAATCTGTAAGTCCTTAGCAGGTTCTATGTCTGGAGAATAAATTTGAATTTGTCTAATAAATCAAATCTATGGTATTTTCTGGGAATATCAAATACTTGATTTTATTGAAACTTGGTATGAACTAGAAATTTTATTTTGTGATTTTAAAGTGACCATTGACAGTATTTGAACATGCTGACTTGGTGCAAACGGGGACGATTGTATTTTTGAATCGGTTCTGCCAAAACAATTTTTCAAAACATACATGTCAATCAGTTGTTTGATTTGATGCAATTTGACGGCCATTTATTTTTCAATTCAATAAAATGTGATGAAGTAGTAGCTATTTTGTTCAAAAAAGCAGATTTGGATAGAACCACACTTTCATACAGAAGAGGAAAAACAAGAGTTGAAAGTTTGTTAAAACCTTATTTTTAATTCTTTGACAGATACGTTCCTGGAATATACAACCAATATATCACTTAGTATCAAGTCCAAACAAAAAACGAGCTTCTTTAAAATGTATCAACTGGTAAACATAACGAACCCAAAATTTTTAGTATTATACACAAAATTAAAAAATAATAATACATGTACATCCATTGGAGGCACAAATTGAAATGCCCATCTAAAGCATGCTTTTTAAAAACTGGTTATTGTTGGATGGCCTTGTTTGAGAAATACATTCATATAAGTATTGTTCTTGGCCGAAAGTAAATTATATATTTTTTTTTTAAGAAATACAATGCAGAAGTTCATTGACATCCTGACAATTGCACAGTTGTGATTCCCTGTCCTCCTAAGCAGTGAATGACCATGCAAACTACCACCATCCAAACACCCATAGAGACATAAACCCAAGTTTTGTTCCAGAATGGCAGTTTGGTATAATTCAATGACTTCCTTTCAAACAAATTATTTTAAACTTTGTAAATGCATTCTAACATTTTGCGAGAGATATAGGCACTTTTATAATAAGATGGAGTCTGAAACTAAATTTGTCTCAGAAAAAATATAAGCCCCACCCCCCTCAAATAAGAACCCCTATAAAGGCAGTGCACACGTTTATCCAGATTCTGGAAGACACCTCTATATACTAGTATAGGGGGGGAAAATAAGCTGAAGTTTGCTGTACATTGGACCTCTGTGTGACTACGTGCATATATCAAGTGCACTCTAAGAAAATAGATATTTGGAAACGTGTGCAAAAATAGTCATTTTGATATACAATAAAGAAAATCTACAAGTAAACTAATGCGCATACACACATCTTGAAACCATAAAATAGAATAGTAACACTTGTACTTCAACCATATTTAAATGCAATCCTGTCTCCCATTTCTTAATTTTGATAATTAGACACTGCTCAAGTCTATGTATTTGATGGAAATACGACAATAGTAAGAGGAATTTCTTTGTGTTCTTTATGGAAATTCACAATAGTAGTAAATGTAGCAAAAAGATTAAATCGAGAGTCTGTAAGATAAAGTGAACAAACAACTGGAATGGTTTATAATCCTTCAAATAACTAAAATTGGATTCACTCAATCATAGGGATGACATGAATACATTGTTCATCATTTATAGATTGAATACGCTGGATACAAGTTACCAGGGTATAGACCACATTGTCAGTCAACAGTGCAGCATCTACTGCCTGCACATCAAAGTGTATAGCTAACACGACAACTCTAAAAGTTGAGGTTTTCTATCAAAAGTCATGTGTGTATTTTACAAGGCCTATTTACAAAGCCAATCAAGAGATTATTGATAATTTTATCTTGTAATAGAAGCATTGCACAGTGAGCGCTTTTTACGCATCTATAAGTCGCATGGGACCCGTATGAAAAATGACCCCATGCTTACAGCTGCCACAAGTGCCTACTGATTACATGGCTATGATGGACAGCCTACATATATCTCACTCAAAATAAGGTAGACAGTGAGTTGTTATACTTGCTGTTAATGTAGTCAAAAAGATCAATTCAAAAGATACATAAGTCTTTTAAATTCGAAAACTTCGATATTGATGACAGTCAGATGGAACTGGTTTTAACTAATTACCATATTCAATGCCAATAAATGTATGCGTCATGTTACCATGTTGACTGCTGTAACTGTACAATCTGTATGTATATCGAGGTATTCAGCCAGTGAAGTGTCCGTCAGAGTGTCTTTGACATTGGTCCCATATGACGTATACATTACATGTAACATACACTGTTTATTTACATGAAATTAAAACGCTTGACAAATTTGAGAAATCGTAACAATGTACAAATAGCAGACCAACTGAAGACCTTGAATAACTAGCAAGAACAAGACAAATGTTAATCTCCTAAGTTTTAATAAACTGATGTCATCGTTCATACATGTAAACCCCTGTTTCTTTGGTAGGTTCTTGGCAACATTCCACCGTCAAGTCAGTGACACAAATCCATCAGGGAAGGATCGGGTATACTTGAAAACAAATGCGAATCCATCAACTTGAGTTCCATGTGTGGCAGCAGCTAGTCCATTCAAATTTTATTGAAGTTTGTTATGAACAGTTATTTTTGGGTTGTATTGGAATGGACAACCGCATCTATGTACTCAAAACATGGTCACATGACATACCTAATCGGGAAATAGATTATTTTGTTCTAAAAGTACAAATTCTACTATCTGCGTTTGATATACCATATTAATAGCCATCTGACCTGTCTCTGTTTCTGGCCATAATAGCGTAGGACCGAATACTATTGCGATGCTCTGTGCGTTCATTCTGTTATAAGATTCGTGTTGTATCACCCTGAAAAACAGAACAAATTAGAATTACACTTGTGTGTATTAATTGACACTAAAATAGATTGATTGTGTCTGTTTCACCGATAACCAGACACAGAAACAAAAAACTATATTCTGACAATTATCTAAAAAAACTGAAGATAATTTGTTCCTGTAGCATGAGCATCTAAAATTTATTATTTTACACAGAAAAAAAAAACCATAATTCAATCAAATTATTTCTGAATCTCAAAAACCAAAGAATTACCTCAGTAAGTGCTGAAACAAAACTCTCATGGTCTCGTAATTGGGTTTTGGCAAAGATGCTAACAGAGTCTTGAACGTTTTCAGCTTACTTCTCTTGTCTTGTTCTGCAAAACAATGGTATAGACTCCAATTAGAAGGTGTGAGTGAGCGATTATTTATATTATGAGGCATAGCTTGTTAAAAGCTTATCGTCCACAGGGTAAGCTCTAAACAGATAGCAATAATCTACTACTGTAAAATACTTTATTTTCGCTGGAATTAATTTTCGCTGAAAAGGCTTTTTGGGCGTTTTGTATGGAATTTATTTTCACTGATTTTTGGTGAGTTTAATGTGAAATATTGGAAAAAAAGTATATTCGCTGGATTTTATTTTCACGGAATCATTCTTTCAGCGAAAATAGCGAAAATAAATTCCAAGCGAAAATAAATTATTCTACAGTATACGTTGTAACAAGGATATTGTTTACAATAACAGAACACAAGACCGTCAGCTCATCCGACTGGAGACTAATCTCCAATGCTGCAAGCCTGGCAAATGAGCAATATGTACTCCTTTTTTTTCCTCTCGCTGCTGAGCAGATTCACTTACCACAAATTCCACTTAAGGTAGATTGTTACTCAATAGTAAAAATAATGTCAATTTCTTTATTTTTACATTTCATGTTGCGAGGATGAAAAAAATAAAATAAAAATATGGGGTCACTGTTCAGATGAACAAAATGGAGTAGATATTGCACGTCTTTTTAGAATATATCTAAAATTGTGGTCAGTGACATAGGGTGGAAAAGTATTCAATGTACTTGTTCATATCTAGACGTATTAAGAAATGTGTTTTCATTAGGGTCTATAAGAACCTCTGCTGAATTGCCATTTTATTAGCTTCTTAAAATAAAAACAGATTAACAGTGTATTTAAATAACATACTCTTGACTAATTCTGAATCGACAATGTGTGCTAAAATATGCAAACATGTCAAAAACACACTAAAACTAAAATATTTATGAATTTATTAAATGCAATGCAATGAAATATGACTTACTTATTGCAGCGACAAATCTATCAAACAGTTTATAAGGAAATAATGGTTCTTTTAATTCTCTGAAAAATAACTTGAGAGAGCCAGCTATGACATGTATATCGTCCCATTTAGGATCATTCAAATTAAGTGGTTGCTCTGAAATGAAACAGTAAATTATGAGTTAAAATCACGTTAATTTGAATTTACAAACTATAATTGTACTTTTCTATGGCCTATATATACCACCCAAATCCAATAATACCCCCTCTATGGCCAAATGGGAGGTCTAGGCCGGCAGAATGAATGGACATGAATTATCGAAGTATTACAGACATGTTTACACAGAACGGAACTTGGAAAGTTTTTAAATTACGTCACTTAGTCACGTGCCTTTGGACCGGAATTCCGGCCCAGTGGAACAATATGCCGATTACTAGTTACTTGCGTACTCGGAACCAGTGAAACCTACTATCTGAATACAATTATACCCCCTCTATGGCCAATATGTGTAAACCTACTATCTGAATACAATTATACCCCCTCTATGGCCAATATGTGTAAACCTACTATCTGAATACAATCATACCCCCTCTAAGACCAACGTATGTAAATCTACAATCTGAGTATGATCATGCCTCTGAGGCCAATAATTATAAAGCCATTCAAAGAATTCTATAATACCTTGGTCTACTGTGAACCTGAGCTTCTGTACATGTGACATGTTTCCACTAACTCTATAAATACCATCTACGCGGAGTCCTCTTTTATCAATAGTTGCTATACACTGTACCACAAATTTAGGAACAAGTGACCTTTCTTTCTCACATAGCTGTACAAGATGGCTACCAAACACACGATCTGAAATGAAAAATTTATAGAGTTAGTTCATCATTACAATGAAATGAACTTATGGGTTAGGCTTGTCAGAAGAGCAGTCAGAGTCGCTACATGTGCCACAATCGTACACAGGGCTACCACATCAGTTACATGTGTCAGAAAAACTGTCAAGGCAGGTTTAAAGGAAACATCAATCCAAACAACATAATGAAAACAAGATGAAATAATTTTCTCAATTTCTGACAACAGACTCTATGATGATGTCATACTTTACCCATAATCCTTTCCTTGAGAATCAAGATGGCTGACAACATACCGATGAAAAGTTGAATATCTAGAGAATGAAAAGTGCTATAAAAAAACTGTAAATTGCATTCTCCTACATTTGTGGAGCTTTTTCTTTAGGGGTCATTATGTTGTTTGGATTGATGTTTCCTCTAATTACAAGTTGTAAATCAGAGCTACTTCATACGTCAAGAAATCATACAGGGCTACTACATGTGTCAGGAAGAGACAAGTTATGATAGCAGTTACCTTTGATATATCCTTTTTTTTCTAAAGCTTCTTTCTTTGGTCTTTTACTTAATAATCTTTTTAATTTACCACCAACTTTGGTTTGACTGTCTTCGCGTAAAAGCATGCCTGAAATGAGATGTTAAACGTTAAACATGGATGATGGATAAATCCTAACTAGGATGGCAGTGATGGTGGAGGGGAGCTACTGAAAAAGCTGCAATCAATTGAGTTTTTATATCCTAAAAATAAACATTTCTGATAATTTTCTCATACATGTTATTAAGTGAGAATAGTTCAAAATGGATAACATGCAAAAACTACACTAACGTGATGACAGGAAAATAATGAAAAGTATACCTCTTGATGGAAATTGATCAAGTTCTTCCTCATCAGACAAATCTACGCTACGTTGTCGTCTACCTGGCACAGGACTCTGTAAATAAGTTAACAATACAGTCCGTCATGTCAATAATTCAAATATATGTTTGCTAGTGTATTGAGAATATTGTTGAAATTATCCACCAATAGCGGAAATACAATTAAACACATGTCATTCGTATTGTTAATGGCGGAATGGTATAAACGCATACATGAACAAGAAAAATGCATTTTTTTTTTCACCTTAGACATGCCTCTGTCATTCAAGTAAACACGTTTCAATGTAAATATTACCTGCAAGTAAGTTTATCTAGAAAAGTAATACTGATAACTTACCATGCTACCAATGTTAGTTGTTATAGCGGTAAACCATTGCTGAGATGCCATACCATTATCACATTGTACAAGTATTTCAATACCACTCAATGTACTTAACTGGAAGGAAAACAAATCAATAATATGAAATACATAAATAGATGTTTGGATATATCAAATCATTTTTTATACCATTCCATGGTTACCAAGGCGGCCATGTTGAGTGTTAATGCAGACATGGATGGCATAATCTGCTCCCAAAATATAGCCACTCAAGACATTCATTCATTCCTCAATCATGATAATATTAAGGGTGGATAAAAAATACATAAGAATTTCATACATGATTATAAACTTACTTGGAAGACGTTTTTCTTGCTTGATTTATCTTTGGCCCATTCTATGAGAGCCCCTTTCATAGGAGCTACTATCTCCGGTTTTCCAGTTGGTGCTCCAGATTTCTGTAACAAGAAATTAGTGATCTTATCATTTTAGTAATAGAAGAAAAGAATAAATTAAAAATCTGCAAGTATAATATGCTTTGTTTTACATCTGGTAGCCAAAAACAATAGTATTCATCAAATTGTTAAACCCTGTTCGCTGCGATCTGAACCTTATCAGTAGAGTGCAACTAAACTGTCATCAGGACGGTTAGGGTTGTCAGTTTGGTCAAATGAGTAACAGAAACCATGTAGCATGTGATCGAAAAAAAATAATTTCCCTGAATGTAAAATGATGGTACAGAGACGAATCTCACCAAATGCTTTCACTTAATTTGCTGGAATTTTGAGCTAATTTATGACGGGAAACAGAAAAAGATGTGTAATAATATGGTTATCATAATAGTACTGCGAAGTATGCACTCAGACACTCTACAATGCATAAAGTCAATACGATCACCATACTGCCTTGTGTATAACTTTACAGCATTTTTTTAATATTCTCATATATCTCAAATATCAGTTACTTTGAAATGAATAGACAGACACATGTCATCTCTAGTAAGAATTATATATTTTTTACATTGCAGAACAAAGCCTTATATTTTACCCCTGTTGTATTTTGTAATTTACCAGCATTCAAACTATCACTTTGTTAATTCACATAAAATTGAATACAGTGATATTAATACCCTAGTAATGGAATGGAAATGAAACTAATTATTGAAGGCAAACAATTACATTTTTACAGCAAGAATGTACCATAGCAAGAATGTAAATTCTGTAACAATCAACAAGCATGATGACTAGCACCCTCTACAGGCCATTTGTTGAGAAATAATCTAAAATCACTATTCAAGTAAAATTTCTAAAAGAAAAGTCACAACACTAAACCTACTTACCCCACTAGCAGTTTTTTGGTCTTTATAGAAATAGAGATGCTGGTTGCTCAGTACTAGGTAAGACGTACTCCAGTTTTTCTTTATTTTTTTCCCATTTTCAAAGATTTTTGCTTTGTTGACGATTCCTTGTTTCTCAGCAGTGACGGATGTATCATGAACTGCCAGATCGGAAAAACTACGGTGGATCTGTATATCCTAGAAGAAATGTAGAAGAAATAATTGACAATCAAATATTCAATCGCCAATAGACTTTTTGCAAGGTGTTGCACTACACAATGTTAAACATGCAACAGACAATTGCGAATGAACGATAATACAATACCTTTGGTTTGTATAAATATGTTATAATTTCAAAGTTTGGATATTTTTTCATAACATGGGGTGATCAATCTTCGTGATCAACGCTTAAATATTGACATCCATGCCAAGCACACGTGAAGTATATGTTCGTTTCGTATCTTGTTTCGATTATTAGAACAACCATTTCTGGCTTACTGGCCTCGTTTTCGTTTTGCCTCAATGACATTGATGTCATAGTTCGCAAGGGCATCCCCTTTATGAAACGAATGTATTGACAGTGATTGTCTACTATTAAACTCTAAATCAGTAAATCTCGTACACCATTTTGTACATGTATTTTCAATAATTTTGAACCAAACATACACATCCATTTTCTACAGGTTAAAATTGTTGACAAAATAATTATTCAGGTCTCTATTGTGAAAAATGACTTTGCAGGGTACTGAACCGGATATGCACCCAATAACACCCATTGCCTTCAAATTTAATCAACCCAAATCATCAAGCATATTTCATAAAGAAACTTACAAAAGTTGAATCAACTGGTCCTGAGATACTTCCTGGTAATGTAGCACTTCTTCGGTCAGGCTCGTGACTATTCCCACCAACTAATGATTTGGTTTTAGATTGCCTGTCATTGAGGGGTCTTATGTAATTCCGTCGTATGCTGTCTTCAAAAGACAACTGGCTTTCGGTATTACTTCTAGGAATGGGGTCAGCCTGCAACAACAAGTTTCTTGTGTTAAAGTTGATGAAGGATTTTGTTTTTAAAACATCCTCTCTGGACCAAAGTGAGCCAAATGAAAGTTATGACAGTGCTATTTGCAGTCCGAAAAACCATCAACACAGGGCCTGTATGTATAGCAATATAACGTGTACACTGTTTAGGCAGTGATTATTTTAACCAGTCTAGGGAGTCTTAGATTATTGAAAGATTTATAATTACTAGTATCCTGTGCTGTCACTTTTTTCAAATTCTCACAGTAGTTTCATAGAGGAAATACAATTTTTGGTAAAACTTCAAAAACAAATGGTGTAAATAACAAATGTACATGTATTAAGCAAGCTTAATATGCATGAATGTACTAGTTCAATAATTACCAGAGCTAACAATCTGACTAATTACAGAGCTCAAGTAACCAATCAGAGTTGTCTCACAGACTTACCAGCTACTGTAAATTACTGTATTTTAGCTGGCATTAATTTTCGCTGAAAAGACTTTTTGCGTGTTTTGTATGGAATTTATTTGCACTGATTTTTGACGAGTTGAATGTAAAATATAGGAAAAAAGGTATATTCTCTGGATTTTATTTTCACTGAATCATTTCTTTAGCGAAAATTAGTTGCAAGCGAAAATAAAGTATTTTATAGTACAAAGCAGGGTTGTTGACACTGCACAATTAAATGTGTATGTTTTTGCACAGGGAATTAGCATACCAAAATAAACTAATTTGAATAATTGATTGGTATATTGTAATTGGAGAATAAATCATGATAAATTTGTTTCATATATTCCTAGGAAAAAAAAACCCAATACCAGAAATATAATCCACATGCCAAAGCAAATGACTGAGTAATCATTTGAAAAAAGACAGTATTATGCAGTATGTAAATACTTGTATAAAATTGAAAGACAAAAAAACTAATTTACATTGTGGCTGATGATGATAGATGAGAGGAGACAACTAGATGGTGTATATGATTCAGGCTCAAGTGAAAAACGCAAAAAAAATGATGCAAATCACCATATCAACTCACGAATATAATTAACAGACAACTGACAATAAAAGGTATCACACCACAATTAGAACAATTTCAAAATAACTTTTTTTTTTTTTACAAAGCATGGTAGCGTTAAATTACATGTAGCTATAATAAGAGAAAAACTAAGGGATTTTATGTGGGTACAGGTTTCACATCGTTTCAGGTTTTTACATTGTTTTTCTATACTGAATTTGTTATGCAAGACCTCAATACTTTTGTTTGGGAGAAGAGCGCCCTCTATCAAAATATACATAGAATGTAGGATATCTGACGCATGAATGGGTATACTGTAACAATATTTGATGAGGATCCACATACTGTTACCATGGTGATTTGGTGAGATGAGGTTGGGGATATTTTTTTTATATTGCAAAACAAATGAAAGTAAAGGATGCTTTATGACTTTAGTATAGCTAGATGGCGAGGTACTTGATTTAGACAAACCTGGTTATATGCATGAACATGTAGATAACTGTGTCTTTTCATATGCTGTAAAAGTTAACATGCAGATTAAATACTAAATATTCAAATTAGGCCATTAATATGTATAACACTAATCTTAACTGATATACTTAAAAAACAAAACAATTCAGCTTGGAGGCTCATTTTGAAGCATCTACGTACTATCATGCAACCGTGAATACAGATTTGTTTGGAGTATTCATTAGACAGTTGGTGAGGAATTTTTCATTCATGATTTGATCTAATGTGACACACTGGAATCATTTTAACTAGCCTAGGCAGTTCAGTAGGCTAAGCATGCTCACACACAACCTGATTTGTCAAGTTCCCCTAGGTGAATGGATTCAAAAGCATTGTCATTTTTTTTCTTTTGTACACATATTCGAAATGGTGAATTTATGGTTCTCAATTGTTCAAAAAGAACGAGTGCGACTTGTATAAGATATGTAGCTTCTAAAACTGATTGGACAAAACAAATTTATGTCTATTTTTATTAATATTCCAATAACTACACAACTATTTTATATTAGTTTGGGATATATTCTACTGAAGCAATCCTCTAAATAATGGCCAATAATTTCTCAGTGAGTGGTTATCAATTAGAAAGGTAAACATAATACTAATGTATAAACTTACCTCAGGCAACTCCCATGCAGTATCTATCCCATTGTCGCTATAGTAATACACTTTACCATTTTGATCTTGGGAAGTATGCCACTGTCAGGGAATAAGGTAGGATTTGTATGATTAGTATCACAGACACAGTGGTGAGCTTGATTTGATATCTTGGGAAGTATGCCACTGTCAGGGAATAGGGTAGGATTTTTATGATTAGTATCACAGACACAGTGGTGAGCTTGATTTGATATTTTGGGAAGTATGCCACTGTCAAGGAATAGGGTAGGATTTTTATGATTAGTATCACAGACACAGTGGTGAGCTTGATTTGATATCTTGAGGGTTTTCGTGGAGATTTCACAAAAGCCATTAGGAATCTACAGCTAGCCAAAAGCGACCACATTGTTTAATTTACGCTAGAACCATAGCACTTTTGTGGGATTTATGGTAAATCTGAATACAGAAAACAATATTACAGATGGGAGTATACAGAGCACGGATCAAGAAACGCAGCAAATACTGGGTAATTGAAAGGGACGTTGAGGTAGTTGTCGACTCTAACTGTTATTAATCAAACCAAAAAAAACTAGACAATGGCTTAGCTGTTCAATTTATTTCACTATTCCCGTGAGGGTGATATTCATCACTGATGAGAAAAACCAAATACCAATTAATTACAAGAAGGGAAATTTTACTTATAATGTGCGTCTGCTTTTATTATGATCTTGAGAGAGAGCACTTTATATTGATACGTACTGCACATGTTTGATTATGGGACAAAGAGACTATGGAGACGTATTGCACTTCCCTTATTCACAAGTTGATCCGCAAAATTTAGATAAAGTAAAGATGTCACTAATGAGAATCTCCTTGATTACATTTCTGGTTTAACATTGTTGCTTTGTAAGATTATATCCTTACATTAACCCTTTGTTTTGAATCCCATCATTTTTTAAGATTTTTCGGAAATATACTTCGGTGCTCAAAGGTTTGAATTTCAAAGGGTGATCAACATTTTAGAAAATTGTAGGTAGATTTGTGGTTGAAATAAATAATTGTCAAACTGTTAAGTATACTGTTAATGGCATCGCGCATGACAACTATATTATAACTATATACATGAACCCTCCCTTCATGTCTGATACCAGTTTCCTCAATAAATACAAGCCAGGAGAAAAAAAATCATCTGTTCTCAAAACCGTACATACAAGCAGTCATCATGCAGGAATCTCAAATGAATTCCTATATTGTGTGCAGTGTACCCTTATATAACACCAAACAAAGAAAATGTTTCTCTATTTCTTATTACCATATTTCAAACTTGACAGAGTTGAAAAACAACTATTTTTTCAATGTCTACAAATAACAAAAGAACCATTCTTGCATGACAAGATGGATGAACATCAAATATTATTAGACAAGCACTCCCTCATAAACTACAATAGATTTATCGACAGATGGTTGCATATTTTAATATCATTCAAAGTACAATCCATACACGCTATTATCGGGATTATATCGCATTATAATCTTCGTCTTTCTTTTATTGCCACGACACTGTACATTTCACAGAAATTTAACCAGAGCATGCAGGAAATCAGTTCATTCATGCTTAACTAAATCCAATACAAGTTGCACGGAAACCAAAGGGGTATCACGATTGGAGAATATTTGTTCAGAATTCTGATGTTTTCACTATTAAAGCACCACAGTCATTGCACTGCATCTTGTTCGATCAGAGTCCCATGCAACTGACACATGAAATAAGAATATGCACTGAACCATGACTGTAAGTGCTGGGGGTCCTCTCGTTGTCATATAAAAGACATTGTAAGGTTGATTTGTTTATGTTTTCAAAATGAAATGAGCGAGTATGATCACTACTGCAATATACGACTATAAATCAATAATCAATGGGGTCATTAATGATAATGAGAAAGTCAAAATAGACCATATTACCATTTTTTGATATTTATCATACATTACCCGTAAATAAAGCTGTCAAGGCAGATTACCAGTTTGTATCAAGGCTACTGTAAAATGACTAATTTTCACTCGGTTTAAATTTCAATTATTTCCCATTTCAGGCATATTTCAGTGGGTTTTAAATTCACAATTTTATCATTTAGATAATGTGTTCTATGCTCAATTTTACATATTCACTGGGTTTTAATTTAGTGCATTTACCAGTCAGCCAAATACACGTAAGCAAATCACATGACCAGCTCCAAGAGCCAAAACGACAGAAATTATAATTTTATATAACAACACTTTTTACTGTTCAGTAGATGTTATTTGTTTTTATTGTTTTTTTGTAGCAATGTATTGGCTAGTAAATGAATTAATGATTCAGAAAGATTTAGGTAAAAATATAAGCAGCTTTGATCAATACGAAATTTTTCATGTGTTTTAGCTGTTGTTAAAAATACGTGTATAAATAAAATGAACACTACTGATATATTTATTCAGTTTTGCCTGGCATGTTGCATCATGGGAAGACAGCAAGCAGTTGATCACATGACTCACAAAACAGATAATACAGTACCTTTTCTCAATTTATATCTAAGTACATCTCAACTGAGTTATTACGTAATAGTATTGCAAACTTGGTATATCGGAATGAGTCACACACTAAGTCACACAGATAATCAGGGCTTTCATCAACATCACCGAGATATGAATCAGAACACGATCAACCTGAGAGACTGAGTCATTACACAACAACCAGAAATCTTGTATCATGTCTAGCCTTTTATTTAATGAATGCTATGATATTATATTAACATATTGGTGTCAACAGAGTCAAAATACCCATTTAGGAGGAGTCCTAATCATGTGAAGCATGTTATATGGACATTTCTAAACGTCAATGTTAACAATACAATTGCTACAAAATATTGTGTTCCTACTTTGAATTCATTTTTGTTGATTTTACAATCAGTGGAAATAAATGCTATACAAAACTACCAAAATGTCTTTTCAACGAAAATTAATTCCAGCAAAAATAAAATATTTTACAGTATAGTAGTATGAATTACATTCAGTCTGAAGGATAGACCACTTTTTGATATGAATAACCACTGCTATTTCATGACAATGTATGTTTTATTCTCTTTTTGATCAAACGCAACTAAATAATTATACATGACCCCTAGAGGTCAAACGTCCTGGTACTTTCTGGGAGTACCGGCAGATTCACAATCAATGTGCAGCTATTGTTAGACAGCCTTGCACTACTGAGGAACATAACAAAAACTTTTATACGGTACAAAGAGAAGGTACACAATGCTTTTGTTGTCATAATTTGCTGGCAGGTTGGGTGTGCATTCTAGTAATTGAGGAAACCCTACCTTATGACGTAAACCTAAGCTATGATCTCATTCTATTACATCATTCAGAAACATTGAGATAAACATTTTACAAAAGTTTCTTCAAATTTTTAAAATGATAGAAATTATACAGTTGAAACATACTATTTTCAAATACTGTAATTGTGATATCTCAAAATTAACTTAACATTTTGTACTAAACATTTTGAGTTTTTAGAGAACATGAGATGCTGATCTCAGGTAGAAAGTTGAGGAATAAAAGAATCTCAGTACAATGGATAGGATGAATACTCGTACCAAGACTGCCTTGAATTGGCCGATAATCTTTCTAGAATGTCCGTGGTTATAACCTGGTTACAGCATAGTATACAAGGTCAAAGCAACAACAACTCCAAATATGCAACAAATTGCCTAAGGGTACCTATTAATTAGGTTGCACATATTCACAACAATCTTATTTGACAAAATTATTAATACAGATTAGTTAAATCATGATCATGTGATGATTTTGGCCATAAACCACGAGCACAAATTTTAATTCTGGAAGTGTAAATGTTAGTGAATTTTGCAGGAATAGGGGGAAAAATATTGTGGCAGTGACAATTTCACTAGAGCCATCTTGGCTTTTTTGATATGACCTAGTGATTGACCTTGAATTATCAAATATCTAGAATCGAAAATGTAACGCTTGACAGTATGATGAAGTATTACACTAACACAAAGTGGAATTGTTTTTTGGTTTTTTTTTAGATTAAAGCATCTCAATTCTCTAGACACCATTAACAATATAATGGATTCCATTTGCATCTCCCGTTCTGTGGAGTCACCGGGGAATTGTAATAATATTCCTCATTTTTCACAACAAAAGATAAATACTATTACTACTGTCAGCGTCGCTAGAAGCGAAACGAGGGATGCATGAAACGTCGGCTAATTACAATAAAGCAATGGGGGTTTCCTCCAGAATAAAAGGTTATGCTCTTTTTTTTTTTTTTTAGCGAAAATCCATTTCCCTTTGAAAACTAGGCTTAAGCTGTCAGATTATCAAACCACTTTTCTGAGTCTACTTCCATTTAAATGTAAATTATCCAACTGCTGCAACAAACTTTCTGGATGATATTAATGGGCAATTATTTTTGCACTGAATAGAGTAAAACGAACAAAAACAGTCACCTTCTCCTGCTTGTCTTCCACGAATCCTCTGCATATCTGGGTTCCCATTTATAAAATTGAACGCACAGAATTTTATTTTACTGTAATGTTTATAATGACGACCACATGCTGCTTTCAGTTTATCTTATTTGTCCCATATTTGGACTTTCTTACCCTGCTGTACAACAAGGCTGCCAAGTATTATATCTAACATCATTAGTGCTAATTGGCATTAATTGAAAATGACAGCTCAGTGGATTCATAACAATTGCCAGCATCATAGCAAGTGTCATGCATAGACTTCACGGAATCTTTGGTATAAGTTGCACTTCCTTGCAGAGACTAATTATCAGTGTATCTATTCTAAAGTATCATTCAATTGAACTTGACTAAATTTTAAAATACAGATTTTAATTTTTAAATTAACTCTATTAAAGTTTAATGTATCACACTAAATTAGTTACCCTCGTAGTTAATATAGCCACATTTTTTTTTAACTAATTAATTTTCCCAGGAATTATACAAATACATGTATAAGACCACCAACACAAACCAGTTCTCTCCAATCAATTGGGTCATATTTAATGATTAAAGAGAAGGTGTTTGCAATGAGTGTTAACTGTGTTGAAATGAAGTCCATGAGGACAGAACGGGTTACATAGAAATTAGACCTGCTCGTATCAGTTTATGTATCTCCCCATTCTTCGGAGGCGGTCACTGGCAATGAGGACAGAGATGTGATACTAATTGATGAACAATGATTGTATCTATAGGAAATTACATTTGTATTTTGTGATAGTATAATAGTTTAATTGCTTGTGATAAGATAACAAGTCAATCTTTTTAAATATTATCAAGTCATCTCAGTCATAAAATTGAGTGCAACTACATGTACCCGGTATTATTATCAGGGACGTATAGCTACAGAGTAATCCCTGGCGAAAATAGGGATGCTAAGGACAATCAGCCCTACATGAATTCATCTACATGTACACATTTTCTCAATACCTGTGTATATTATTTTTTGTTGTGATTTATAATATTTTTATATAATTGCATTCTCTCACAGTATAATTTTGTGTACACATTATCAACTACCAACGTAATTTTTGTTGGAATAAAGCTGTACCTTTAAGAAATTTTTTTGTTTTTTCAACCACAAAGGAAAATGAATTTAAAAACTGTTATATTTTAATAAGTACATTTTTTCAGATAGTCTTTCAAATACTGTGAAATACTTTATTTTCGCTGGAATTAATTTTCGCTGAAAAGGCATTTTGGGTGTTTTGTATGGAATTTATTTTCACTGATTTTTGACGAGTTGAATGTGAACTATAGGGAAAAAAGTATATTCGCTGGATTTTATTTTCACGGAATCATCCTTTCAGTGAAAATAACAAAAAATAAATTCCAAGCGAAAATAAAGTATTCTACAGTATTCCAAACAAAGAACAAACCTTGGCAGAGTGGTTCGTCATCAATACTCATACCCGAAATTTTCAAGTCTGATGATGACTGGTGTATCATTTAAAATATTAAATATAATTACGGTGACAGTTATTGATGATATAATGCGATCAAATTTCATATTGAGTTTAGGAATTCCACATGAATCATCTGTGTTTGCATTTTAGAACAGTAATACGTGATACACATATAAATGTACTGTGTCTACTATAAATCAAACACACTGATGATATTAGAAATGAATTTCCATCAACAAGTATGCAAGCTATAGAATCGGTAGTTTTATTGATTGGAGCCACCCATATTGGGGTGTCCATTTCACGTTTGTCTTCAGTAGATGTAATGCATGCTATAATATACTGTAAAACATGTCTTTTTCACGAGCATGTCTTTTTCGTGAATTTAGCGAGAGAACTGATTCGCTATTTCAAGATGTCGCTAATGACTTTATTATCAATTCAAAATGGCCGCCAAACAAAAATATCAACAATGACAAGAGAGATTCGCTAAATCAACATTTCGCTATTACGTCATTTTACCACAATTCGCTAAAATTGCATGCCGCTTTTTCAACATGTTTTACAGTATGAGAATAGTTTAGACAGTTTGGTAAAGTGAACTTTAGTCTGTTTCTCGTCACATATTGACAATGCCACAAGTATTTGCCACTACTATGCATATACATACTGTGCGGCAATAGCTTAACTTTCGCTGTTGCATGTCCTTACATGTGTATTTCATTTGCCAAAAACATACCTGGGTATCAAATTGTAAACTTTATTTTAAACACTTATGTTTTAAAATTCAATGAATAACAAAAGGCAAATTTAGACAATAGGCCTCCTATTGTGTTCCACTTGCATGATACTGCTACATGCTTTCAATATTTTTTGTATACAGGTTAGAAATTCCGTATTTTAAGTGTAGTTTACCATGCAAAATATATAACAAAATGAAAACTCTTAGCATATGTCAGTTTTCAGTGCATACATATTTGTAGAATTTATTTCCATTGTATTTAGCCCTTAACAGTTCCCATATTTCATGGATAATTTTATCATTTTTTTTTTATCACTTTTCATTACCCTAGCATGTTTCTGAATATATTATTTTCTAATATTTCACTTTACAAACAAAAGTGAATAGCATATTTTTAAATTAATATAAATTCTGTAACCACAGACACAATACCATAATATGAACCACATGTTGACAAGTGTTCAAGCATAAATCCAAACTGCAGAGCAATCATAAAACGTGTTTCTGTGTACAGTGACAGCAAATATAGGGAGCATGGCAAGCAAAAAAAAAAAATATATATATTGAAGAGAACGAACACAAAGGAAAAGACTGTAATATCAGTGTCATTGTATTACGAGAAAGAAGGCTGAATACCTGTCAGAGAGCTGTCTACCACAGACAAAGCATACTATGTAACAATACACTCACCTTATCTTTAGTAGCTTCATTGATGTAAACCAAGTCTCCTTCATCATTAGTCTCTTGTTTCCATCCATGAGGCACTGTAGTCTTTGGTGAAGTTACCTGCCAATCAAATACACAAAGAAGTAGCAAGTTAAAATAAGATTATATATATATATATATATATATATAAAGATGGAAAAATAATATTGAGGAAATATTAATTTCAGAAAGTAGTGTAAGTGGAAAACTTCACTCAAGTTATCCTTAATTTGTCCTCAGCATGTCAACAAAACCAACTGTGGGCCAGTCCTCTTAACAAACAACGACATCAATCAAACCTAGCCAAAACGGACATAACTCAAATAATAACATGGCATTTGGAGTGAAATTTACACATCAAGATACACACCAATGGTACTGCGGAGACATCTAGTCGTAAGTTTGCCACAGACTGGCAGAATGGGATGTAGGCGAACCCAAACTGGCACGGTCTCTTGTTGACTATCATTGCACGTTACAATGTGACAATATCGTGTACAGATCCGTCCTACTATACACATGTACGCTAACAGAGAATTTACAAACGTGTTGTATTCATGAGAGGTCAGTCAAATGATCAATGTCTATTTTCACCACTCTTATACGGCAAGGTGCTACACACTCAGCGAACGCAGCGATTGGCAGATGGCAGTGTTTGCAACGACAATGGGGCCATTCAACTGGAACGACTATTGTTGAAAGCTTGACAATGAGTTATATGTTGATATTTTATATAAAGTCTAATTGGATGGAAAGTGAAAAGGCATTAGAGAAAGTTACATGTGACTATAATTTGCATAATAGCAAAGAAGTACCAAACACATCTACACACATATACAAGTTTTCTCAGTGGTTGTTATTTTTAAAACTATTTGCATAAAAGTTGTAGCATATACATTGTATGATTGTAAGTGATGACTTTTCAAATAAATTCATTCAATAATATTAACACTTTGAGTCATGGTGAAGGTGAATCATCGATACAACTGTACATTGCCATGGAAACCTATTGTTAAGGATGAATCAATATTGAGCACATTTGTGACAAATTAAGTTAAATGCATTTTCACAGCCCAACTATATTGTTTGCGTTTATGGGTACTTGTAATACAAGTAGGTATAATTAAGCAGTCTCAATGCCATCAACATCTTGAGCAGTATCCTGTATTGTAAATATATCACATGTTCTTTTTTGCAGAATATCAACAGATTTGGAACAATTAAGAAATTTACCCCTAAAATACAGGAAAAAAATAGGTATTTCTGCTTTTGTTCTAAGTATAAGAAATGAGGTAGTTCAGAAATCATAACTGAAACATAATATTAATTTTTCAATAATTTCGACAATTTTAGTGAAATCACAGCTAATGGTTCTTGAGATGATTAAGTTTCCTATATTTGATGAGAATGCTCTCTTAATTATAAAATTAGAGTAGGTTACTCTTAAAGTGATAATAAAATCCTAATACAGTTAACATATTAGATACAACTTGTTGACCTTGATTGCCAGTCAACTTCTGTCACAAAAGAAAACTTGCATAAAATATTTCCATATTTGTTAAAAAATGTTGATCAAGACATGTGATCCATGGAAAATTATGTCCATTTGATTACAAAATTAGAAAATCATAGAAAAATATCTAAAAATGTGCAAAATGTTGCAGGAAATTTTGGTGAAAAACATATAGGGTTACAAAATAAATGCAGTTTCTCCAATATTTTCGCAGGATAATCAAATAATCAGGTCAATGCTAGGAACGGGAAATGAAATTATAGCACATCTACTTGAATAAGAAATATAATGCAATAATGTATCATATTTTTTTTACCAATCAAAAAATAAATGTCAGCAGTACACCATATATGGTAGTTATATAGAAGATAATATTTTGTAATTTTTTAAGATAATATTTGGTTAGCTATTTTTAATAGTTATTTAGCACTACGATTACCAAATATTATCTTCTATACAAGTGTATATCACATTTATCAGTCCGAGCAGCATTTATTAATATATGGTAGTTGTTGTTGTTATGGTTGATATTATTGAGTGATCCATAAAAACACATTTAATATTGATTTGCCTGCTGAGCTGAATTAAGTCACTGTGGAATACTGCTTTGTGTAGATATTAATTTAATTTAACACGACTGTGATGAAAGCCTCTATTAATCTAAAGTCCTCGTCTTCACAGCAGGCTCATCATACACGACATATAATGTTTGAAAATCGCCATGACTAATCTCTATCTCAATACAGAAACAACCAAATCACAGTCTGATTATATGTGCATGTGCGTGACTTCTCAGTGACATGCTATGCGGCAATGTGGCAGCACTGATGAAAACAGCTCACATTCTTTCTTCAATTATGTAACGTGAATGTTTGAATGTGAAATTGTCTGTGTCGATGTTTCAGAAGATATATTTTGACTAACAGTACAAATAATTTAAGGAATAAACGAAAAGCAAAACATAATTCTTTGCAATATACATGTAGGTAATACAGCACATACATGTACAATCAAAGAAAGCTTAAAAATAACTCCCATGTGCAGAGAGTATTGGAAACACATTAAAAATTACTTGTACCTGAGATATTTTTGGAAAAGCTGAAAACTGACTAATTATGCAAATCAGGTAATTAATATGCACAGGTTTTAACACAAAACTAATCAAGTCTGTGCATAGTCATAGAGTATCTATGTACCAGGTTTCACTTAAATGTAATGATTAGTACTTGAAATGTCAGTGGAAAAACCAAAAAATTGACTAATCATATCTGTACCTTAGTCCAAAACATATTTATATTAATACAAACTGTACTATACGTTCCCCCGTTATTAACACTAAGCTAACACTAACTATTAATATAAATTATGAAAAATTGTGAGGGTAGTCACTTGGTAGGTTTGTCGTCACATAGTATTGTAGGTATAAACTTAAATGGAAGTCGTTACAAGTCGTCGTTACAATGTTGATGAAGACAAACGCACACATACACGTCTTACCATCATTGCAACTAGACACATTGGATTTTAATATAGTTAAATTAACTTTTAATATAGTTGCGTTATGTTTGGATTAAAACATATTCCTATATAGGTTTGCGCTTTAATTGGATTATTGGTTTCAATTACAATGCAATTCAACATAGAATTACGTTTTCATTCAAGTTTAATTAAATAAAAGTTGAAAATCCTGTGACTCAACATAAAAATATTTGCAAAGCTTAGGTTTAGTAAAAGGTATGGTACAAATGTACAATTAAATTTATTATCAATACATGTATAAATTATACCATAACTTTCCAATTAACTAAACCTAAGCTATGCAAACTTGACTTAAATTTGATTTAAATATTAATATAAACTATGAACTTGATATTTGTAATGTAAAATGAAAGTTGTCACAATGTTAACACTAACAAACACACATACACGTCTTACTGTCGTAACACACACATTGGATTAACTTTTAATATAGTTGAATTAACTTTTAATATAGTTGCGATATGAACTTGATTAAAACGCATCCTATATAGGGTTGTGTTTTATTTGGAGTTTAATTAAACTCAATTGAATGCATTTCAACATAGAATTGCATTTTAATTCAAGTTTAATTAAATAAAAGTTGAATATCCTGTGACTTAAAATAGAAATGTTTACGAAGCTTAGGTTTAGTATTAAAAGAGGGTAGGTATGGAACAATTATATGTACTATACACATGTACCTTTTCCCCTTTACTAAACCTAAGCTACGCAAACTAGACTTTGATAAAATATTAATATAAAATATGATCAAAGAAAGCTTAGAAAGAACTCCCGTGTGCTCATAGTACACATTAAAAATTAATTCAAAATTACTTGTACTAGAGATATTGATGGAAACGCAGAAAACTAATTATGCAAATAAGGTAACTAATATGAACAGATTTAAGTGTAAAACTAATAAGGTCTGCACAATGTACCAAGTTTCATTGAAATGTGATTAGAACCAAAAAAATATTAATTATTATTCTAATTAGAGAATTAATATGAACAGATTTTAACCCAAAATTAATCAGGCTGTCTATTATTATCCTAGAGCATTTATTTACCAAGTTTTATTCAAATGTGATGATTAATACTTGAGATATCAGTATTAATTAATTATGTTAATTAGGTGATTAAGAAGCATAAATATTTACCAAAAACTAATATGGTGTATAGTCCTAGGTTCATTGAAATGTGATGGGTACTCTTTAAAAGTTTCATTGAAATCCAATGAGTGGTTTTTAGACAGCCATAGAACAGCAAAAAATTAACTAATTATGCAAATTAGGTAATTGATAGGCACAATTACTTATCCCCAAATTAATCAGGTCTCTGCATAGTCCTAGAACATCTATGTCGCAAGTCTCATTGAAATGTGATGATTAGTACTTGAGATATCAGGTGAAAAGCTGAAAATTCACTAATTATGCTAATAAGGTGATTAATATGCACAAATATTTACCCAAAAAACTAATTAGGTCTTTGCACAGTTCTCAAGTAACTATGTCCCAAGTTTCATTGAAACGTGATCATTACTACTCGAAATATCAAAAGCTGAAAATTAAT